CTAACGAATAACTTTTAATTCTTTTAAATGGTTCATAAAAATTCAACAAATAGCCTAGGCTAATGATTTCGGTGTCCGAATTCGTGAATTTCCGGCAGGAAAGCTTCCGTTGCCAACTGAAAAATGGTAGGAACTTCGAAGCAGGAATCCGATGATTGGATATGATGACCGGATTTTTCTAGTTCTGGTCGTAACCGGGCTGAGCCGATCAGTGGATTTAATCCTCAGATTGCTGCTTCTAAGTTTCTACCACTTTCCGTGCTTTTTCGGTCAAAATTAATCCTTATTTCTTGAGTTAGGATTTTTATTGAAAAGTTTTTCTTTTAAATTGATAAATAAAACAAACCAGTAAGAAGAATTCCTTGTAGATCGCCTTTTTCTCGACTCTCATCAGCTAATTTATCTAATTTATCATAAAGACGTTGATCATTTAAATATCGAGCAGCAAATGCAACTTTATCATTAAGATCTAATTGTTCATCCTAAGAAATTAAAATTTTTAAATAAAAATAAAATAAATAACTATACATACGAGAACACATTCATATTGAAGATCATTTCCATCTTGTGTAAGAATAAATCCAAACATAGCTCGAACATAAGGTCGATGAAATAATTTTGTTACAGATGAAAATTCATTCATTAATGTTTTATCATCATTATTTGTTGATGTTGCTCGAATTGAACCAACTAACGCAAGAATTAATGTTGCTAATTCTTCTTTTCCACCTTTAAATAATTTTATTTATTTATTTAAAATAAAAATTTGACAAAATAAAAACCTCGTTGAAGACCCTCATTAAGTACTTCTAATGCTCGATTAACATTCATTTGAAATATATAAAGTGCAGCTACTTTTTCATATTCATCTTGTTCTAATAATAATGCCATACGATCATATCCAACTGATTTTGAATCGATATGTGACCATCCACATAATTGAGCAACTGTTTGTCTATTAAAACAAAAATTCGTTTTTTTTTTTTCTATTAATATTCACTTTTGCAGAATCAATCAAATTTTATCTTATATGAACAAGTAAATATGACAAAATTATTTGGTTTAATCCA